ACAATTTTCAGACAGAAATTATAGAAAAAATAATTTTCTTGGAATATTATTTCAGGAGTAGAAATTATTCCGAAATTCGGCAACGTTTTTTAACATTCCTAAGTTTGCAACTAGCGAAAATAACGGTACCGCTTGGAACAAAGGCATTGCAGGGGAGAGTTATAACCTTTTCGCCTTTACTTGACTTGCCTGGTTAGTTCTGAGTGAAACATGGTTCGAGTAAGAGCAGGTTATACGTCTAAATTTAAACGTCAAGTGGTGCGTTATGCACAAGAACACGGAAATCGAGCAGCAGGGAGAAAATTCGACGTTGATGAAAAAAATGTGCGAAGATGGATACTAACGAACGATGACCTTGAAAAAACGTCACAAAATCGACAATCTTTCATCGGAAAGAAAGCTAAATTTCCAGAACTTGAAAATAAACTTTTGCGATACGTGTGTGATACACGGGCGGATGGATTTTCAGTGTCTGTGGAAATGATTCAATTTGAAGGCCTCAAAATAGCGGACAGAATGAAAATTCCTCGTAATGAATTTAAGGGAAGTTACGGATGGGCAAGGCGCTTTATGGCCCGACATGATCTTGTAATTCAGCGACGGACGTCAATAGCGCAGCGCCTTCCCGATACATACCAGGAGAAACTGCTTGCATTTCAAAAACATGTCATGAAATTAAGAAAGACACACAACTACACCATGGGAGCTACTGGAAATGTTGCTGAAACTCCTGTGTTCTTTGAAATGCCGGGTGAAAGTACAGTGAACAAAGCAGGCGAAAAAACAGTGCATGTGCGGACTGCAGGAGCAGAAAAGCAGCGGTGTAACGTAATGCTTGGTATCACTGCTGATGGAAACAAACTACCACCATTTGTAATCTTCAAACGCAAAACATTTCCGAAAGAAAAGCTTCCACAGGGAATTTTGGTGAGAGTTCAAGAAAAAGGATGGATGACAGAAGAGCTCTATCTGGATTGGTTGAAATCAGTGTGGTTTCGGCGCCCAGGCGCACTTTTACATCAGCGGTCAATGTTAGTGGTTGACAGTTTTCGAAGCCATTTAACTGAAAATGTGAAAGTGAAGATGAGGCAGGAGAAAAGTGATATGGTTGTGATACCAGGGGGGATGACTGGCATATTACAACCACTTGATGTGTCAATAAACCGTCCTTTCAAGTCTCATTTGCGGCGCTTTTACCGGGACTGGAGATGCGGTTCCATGGAGATGACGCCGACTGGACGATTGAAGAAACCTTCATTAAGTCAAATGTGTGAGTGGATTGTGGCTGAATGGAACACCATACCAGAAGAAATGGTTTCCAAAAGTTTTAAAGTCACATCCATTTCCAACGCAATGGACGGGACTGAAGATGACGCTGTATGGCTGACATCACCTGACAGCGAAACTTCGAGCGAGAGCGACATCGACAGTAACGAGTCAAGTGATGAACAGTAATATGGTTCAATTACCGTGGACCAACTTCAGAAAGTGTCGCATAATTTATTCATGCGATGCGAAGCATGTTTGCAAGCAGAAGGGGGTCACTTTCAGCACCTGTTATAAAGCACGGTAAGTTTATGTTATCTTTTTACAGTATTCTTATAAATGTGTGCATGTACAGAAACTGATGTAAGGGTATCAGGGACATGACTGCACTCTCGCTAGCAGGGAGGGGCACAGTAGTTGCGGAGAAACGTTCCATCCACTCTATGCCGCTGCCCCGGTTTCCTCGATCTTTGAACACCCTGGATTACTAATTATGAATATAATTTTTTGTAAATGAAGTGTGATTTCGAATATTTCGAATATAAGCTGCACCCCAGTTTTCCTCTTCAATTTTTGGCAAAAAATGTGCGGCCTATACATGCGTAAATACAGTAATTGTGGCACATTCACACAATTTCATTTAATTACCTCAAATAAGACAACAGTACTCAGGATAAAATGTATGTTTCATTGTTTTCTGCAAGTATGGTTCAAAATAATTTTTACTTTACTAAAGACCACAGTATGGCAAGTGACATGTGAAAAATACTTGGGTTATTTCATTTTTATTTTCGGACATTACATTTAGGATTTTGTTATTTGTTCACTGGCCAAAGTAGATGTTTTGCTCGGAAATGAGTCTTGCTCCTTGTTTAATTAAATTCATATTATTTGTTGACTTCCTTCCACTAACAGTTTAACTTGCATTCCCCACCTGACTATGTGCCTTACTCCAAATTGGTTCATGGCGACTAGGGTTGTTTATTGCTACCCCCAGAAGAGGAGTGGAGGAAATTTAAGTTTCATTCATTATCCTCAGTATTTACTGCTCTTACTGCAACCACAGGAAGAGGCCAAGACAGGCCACACATTCAGCATGCAGAGTTAATAAAAATGCACATAAAACTTTGGTTAGAGGAGTTGAAGACTCGTTACCACCACCGCCATGACTACCACTATCACTACCAACACCACCATCACTCACAGGTGTTCTACAATACAATATTAACTGCAAGGACATGTATAAACAGATGAAATGATAAAATGAACATGTATGGTGATGAGACAAGGGCTGGAACAGAAGAGTCTACTACCTATTTCAGAACACTATCCTGGCAGTCAAGGAGAATGACTGTGGAAAATCATTCAATACAATTAGTGCCCTGTTTGATATGGGTACTTCCTTAACAAGGTTGCTACTGTGCTCTCTTACATAGAGAAAATACTATAATGACCTCAGCTGAAGAGACTTTAAAAATTTGAGGTGCCTTTGGATAAGGTCTTCCTTAGTTACAACTTTTAAGCAACGTGTAAAAAATATGCAGACAACTACATATAATGAAATAACTCACCACTAGTGAAACTTCTGAGAAGAGAGTACGAAGAAGAGAATCAACAGGTCTCAGGACACAGGGAGCAACAGAGGTAAGTACACGTTGCAGAGAATGTTGGGCTGCCCTAGATTCCAGCATCACTCTGTCCTGCGCCAGGAGTGGGAGCAATGTGTCCACTACTTGGCATGACCAGCGGTGCCATCGTTCCTCACTGTCATGGCTCTCATTAAGTACTACACTCAGTAGTTCCAAAACCTGTTTTATAAACAGTGATAACCAAATTTCCATAAAATTCATATTTAACTAGCTGAAACCCCACTTTTTGTATTGACTATTGCATCCAAAACCAAATACATCATTCCAAAAGGTGGTATGCAATACGATATGCATAAGATATCAATATCATTAAGACTTAAAAACAGGTTCAACTACAACAAACATGAAAGAGACACAAGGATAGATAATTTCTGTTTCTATGCAGTAATACCTATACTGGATTGGATCTACATCTAGTACTGTAGTAGATATGAGCATCTGAACCAATGAGGAACACAGAACTAGAAAAATGCATTTAGAAAATATGCGTACTTCCTGCTCTCATAGGCTTTCCGTCACCAAGTAATTTTTATTGTAAAATTGTTATGGTGTGGGATTGAAACAGCAAATGGACTGACCTGATGATATTCCACCAACCGCAACAACATGGATACCAGAACTTCTCGTTGGGTCTCTAGCTCTTTCAAATCAAAGCTGCTGGCACTGCTTGTACCACGAACCAAAAACACATCTTCCACAACTGGAACTAATTCAGTGATACCTGAACACAAAATTACATTTAAGTCGCAACTCTGAAATGTCTAAATTATTTAAAGATTAACTGCTCAGGTGAAGTGACAGTAATAGATTTCATAATGATATTAATTCTAAAATGCACAACAAGTAACAAGAAATTCTGGAAAGAATGAATCGCCTGCTTTCCTTGCACTACATATTGAGTATATGTTATGAGATGGTCTGCATAGAAAACACCATACATAACAGTTTTTGTGTGTGTGTGTGTGTGTGTACTTAACGCTGTGGTAACATGTTTATGCGTTGCCTAGCAATGGCTGTATCTTCTGATCCCACTATTCCAGCTTTAGAGGGAGCATACAGACATACAGACAGCAAGCAGATCTCACAAGGATTCTTTTACTTTTTAAAAATAAGGCAAGTAGGCTAAGAAGCATTTCACAGAGTTAAAAATTTTGCTTTATATACAAAACTGTTCATCTTAACAAGGCCGCTACTTACAGTGTGTGACTGGTGACTGTCCACTTGCCATCAACCCATCACATAACTGGATTACCTTAGGAACACCAATGATACACTTGGAATGATGTTTCTCATATGACAGGTGGACCAAGAAGTAAAATATCCGGGGTATCAGTTCTTCAGCATGCCTAAATAAGAGAATTATGCTTTCACAGGTAATTCTGTGGCCAGCTGGTTATTCTACAACTGAGGGAAATTAGATCGGTATGAAGCAAACACGAAACATTCATTACAAATGTCAAAACTGTGCTTAGTAATACTGTAAACCATATCTCCCAACATATGCAAACACTGTGGTGCTTAACACTCTGGGTCTTCGAAAAGAAAATTTTTAATGCGTCCCAAGTAATTGCTTAAACTGCAAAACTCTGGCTTGTTTATAGTTAACGAAACCAAGACAATCGGTAAAATATAGACAAAATCCTGTGTTCTCTTTGCATAGATTCTGATATTAAATTTTTGAGTACCACCATGCAGTTCAAAAGAAATCCCCAATACGATTTAAAATAAAATATTCTGCATGGTTGTCATCTTCAAATATACATATAAATTACAAGCACTACAAACATGCTTTCCAACAAGCGCAAGATCTGGTTAAGATAAATCTAGAAGAACATAACTTACTGGCTGAATTCATTTATTCTTAATATGAACAAATAACTTTAATTGAAATATCTCTGCAGAGTGGTATCAGTTGTGATATATGTGGACCCAGCATTTAGAGGAAAAATCTTCTTTCAAAATTCAAATTCCTATACCCAATGAATGGTTAAAAGTGAAACATTTAGGGTGAAGATACACTTTTGTATTTGACTGATATGAAAGAGTGAAGATGTTGAGGAAATACACATACAGAATCTGTCCTTCTTCAATGAATTCAAACTGCTTCAGCACAAATCCAAGGAAGATCTGATCTGAGTCAAGAAGAAAGTAGTTGACTCTCAGTTGCATCAATTGGCTCACTAACAGCAATACTTGGCACTGAAGCTGTACATCACTCGTCACTGTATACTGCTGCAAGCAACAAAATCTCAAGTCATACTTTTAGTCACGTCTTCATTTTATTACTAACATGGATTATGACTGTTTTCCATGGACAAAAGCATTAACATATCCCAGAACTGATTTTGTCATTCACCCTAGAAGCAAACACAGAAATCCATAAATGTAACTGAATCACTGCTGAAAGATTTTGTGTTACAATGCAATAAATATATCATTCATTCCCTTTATGATTTTGCATGCCTCATTGATCTTTACACGCATTTGTTACAGAAATCTCATCCTTCAGTCAGAAATTCACTGTTACAAAGCCAATCATCACACTGTACAGTAAAGAATTATTTGTTCTTTACATAGTCAACTCCTGTTCAAGGTTTCTTTGAGTGGTAGATTTGAGAATTTAACTGAAAACACCTTAAATGGAGAAAGTTTAACAATGAGATTACTGACATGGATGAAAATGAATGTTACATGAGGGAAAATTCTAAAAAGAGGAAAATTAAATGAGAATTCCTGCTTAATGGAACTGTTAGTGCATGGTGACCCTAAATAAGGAATATATTGCATTAAAAAATATAATTTTTCAACCAAAAGATAGCAGTGAAGAATCTAGTTAGAATTCTGCATCTGCAATAAAAACCCTTCACAACACACTTTTTCACACATGGAAAATCGATTTTGGATGAGCAGAGGCCAATCATTCCACCAACTGGAATTCATTTTGCAATAACTTCAGTCATTTAATATACTATATTTCAATGCATAATTCACCCCACTGTATACTCATATAGTTTAATTTTCACGGTGAAATTAAAGTCAAAATAAATCCCCACATATTTTGTGTATTCTGTCCAACTATGAAAGGTTACAGCAAAGATAAGTTTTGTACCAAGTATGAGTGACAACAGACAGCAAATAGAAAGCATGGCACAGTTCAACAAGAATGTTCCTTTGTCATTGTTACGTATCATGTGGTCTTCAGGGTAACCCTGCAGCCATGAGAACATGATATAAATGACACTGTGTTCCACCAAAGAGGTGTAATTGGTGTGATCTATCTTTTATCAGCATTTAACCCGTTGCCGTGGTTCGTCGTGTATGCTTCGTCTGGGATTTAAATCGTCTGGGGGGGTTCGGCGTGTATGTTTCGTCCAGCTGCACACGTATGTTATAACGCCCATAATAATTGATGGTTTTGCTGTAGATTGTTAGATTTTTCACTGGCCTGTTGTCAGGAGGACTGTATTTATTGACACACGCGTTTAAGAGCGCTAAGTCGTTGTTACATATGCCTGTCTTGCAGCAACGTTCCTGTGGCTATTGCGAGCTGTTTCTGTTATGAATGATGTGTTTTCTTTGCTCTGAAGCTATAAACAGTAGAGATGTGATATGGCCTGGTGTTTATGATATCGTATTGCCCTGAGCTGGCTACACACACACTCAATTGGAATTCTTAGAAGAGGGATGTACAAAAATTTATGCTAGCAAAATCGATTGCTTTCGCACAGTACATAGCACCCATTTCTTAGAAAAACGCCACAATATAAGGCAGAACACTGTGGTCACCCCCTGAGAGGATACGGATGTGTGTGGGGGAGGGAAAAGAACTCATTCCTTCATG